AGAAGGAATGAATCCCAGCAAGTCAGCCCACAACCCACTGTGTGACTCAAGGTCACATCCTTCTGTGGCCAGTTTCCTCATCTGTAAAACAGGGATACTGGACTAGCTGGCTTTAAACCGCTAGCACTTTAGGATCGTATCTTTCTTAATGGCTTTGCACTTTTAAAATGTTTTCATGAACTCCATTTTTTCTCAAAGCAACCCATGGAGTGGTCAGAAGGTTATATCCCCATTGGGCAGATGAGGAAACTGAAGGCATATCATGAATAAATGCAAAAGTAGGACTGCATTCCAAGGACTGCAAATCTTAACATGCCTGCTATGGCACCAGAGCTGTCTCCTGGGCCTAAGTGTCTATGACTGGTCACCTGGAGAACACAGACAACAGTTAGTGTGGCCACAGCCATGGTGGTCCTGTGCTAGCCTTGCTAACCCAGCCCCAGAGATCCCAGGGGAGTGGACTGATCTGGGACAAGTCCCAACAAGACATCCACAAATTTCGAGAGCCTTTTTCAGGACACACCTAAATCCAGGGAGGCCAAGGACTCCAGTCTCCCCCACATCTCCCAGCCACTCCAAGTAGAAGGTACTGGTTGTGCCACCAGAGGATGGGCCGATGGTCCCTCTGGACCAGCAACTGGCTCTGGGATTGCTGTTAAACCTGGTCGAACAGCAGAAGCCCCATGGCCACCAAGGGCCCAGCTCTGGATGTCGGCGCCACCCTAGACAGTTTCCCTTTCACCTCTACGTTCCCTCAGCTGTCTGCATGACCTCACAAAATGTTCTTCTCTCTCTGGATCTGATCTGATCTGTGGGATGGCGACTCTAACTGATACGACTGGGACTTCCCTGGTAGTCCAGTGGTTGAGAATCTGCCTTCCAATGCAGGGGACGCGGGTTCAATCCCTGGTTGGGGAACTAAGATCCCACATGACGCAGGGCAACTAAGGCCCCATGCGCACGCACGTGCCACCTACAGAGCCCACGCATCACAGCTAGAGAGAAGCCCGCGCACCCCAATGAAAGAGCCCGCATGCTGCAACTAAGACCAGATGCAGCCAAATATAAATAAATAAATAAATATTTTTAAAAATTTAAAAATAAAAATAAATGATACAACCACCTGGGTCCCTTCCAGTCCTAGGATACCAAGCAAAACTTCTCAAGGCAAATCTGCAGAAGACAGTTTCTGAGCCCCTGTTGAGAAGGTGAGTTCACTGTCACATCCACCCACTTTCTGAGCACCGTGCAGTCGATACATGCTTAACATTATGCAACCTAGCAAATGGGAGGAACTCCTTGTACATATCAGGGTCTTCCTGGTAAGATTTAACTCTGACCCTCGTTTGAAAATGGGTAAACCGAGGCCCCAGAGAGATTGAGATCAACTTGCCAACATCACCCAGCAAGTCAGAACCCAGGTTTCCTGACCCCAAACCTCTCTCTTGCTGTTCTGCCAATGGGACCTTGAAATCCAGGCAACTTTCAGCCATGGCTCCAAATGCAACTTACACTTGCTGGAGGTTTGGGGACTGGCTCTGGCTTGTCGCTGGGGTGTGCAGGGTCAGCGGAGGTTGCTGGAACATCTGCATCCTTTCCTGGAGAATTGAGAAAACATGGGTGAGCAGCAGGGAAAGGGGAAAAGCCCAGATGCTGCCCCCTTAAGGACAGCCTTGGCCAGGAAAAGTTCTCAGAC